TTGTGATTTTTATTTTCTTGGCATGCAGAAGTTTTTCTTTAAATATTTTTATTGATTTCAGAGAGGAAGGCAGAGGGAGAGAGAGATAGAAACATCAGTGATGAGAGAGAATCATTGATCGGCTGCCTACTGTACACCCCCCACTGGAGATCAAGCCTGCAACCCGGGCATGTGCCCCTGACCAGAATCGAACCCAGGACCCCTCAGTCCGCAGGCCAATGCTCTATCCACTGAGCCAAACCAGCCAGGGTGGCATGCAAAAGTTTTTAATGCATCTGTTGCCAGATTTAGCCTTTTTCCTATGTGGCTTTTGTCTTGCATAAGGGGTTGCCTGCTCCAAGGATCAAAATATATTTTTCTCTAACTTTTGCCAACACTTCACTTTTATTTTTTATGTTTCTCTTCTCTGACACAGTTAAAATTTATTGCAGTGTGAAACAGCCAAGTTTATTTATATATTTTTTCAGACAGATGGACAGTTGTCTCAACTACCTTTATTGAATAGACCATTATTTATCTTAGCCTAAATTTTCTTATAGACAGGATTCCATTTCTTGACATTCTAGTTTATTTTATTGATATATTGGTCTTTTCTTGCACCAGTACTTTATTGTTTTAATTACTGTACCTTTATAATATGTTTGATGCCTGGCTAGGCAAGCCTTCCCATAGTTTTATCTCTCAAAAATTTCTTGACCCAGGCATTTTCATTTCCAGACAAATTTTAGAATCCACTTAAGTTCTTTTTAAAACCCTATTATATTTTGATTGGGAGTTCCTTGACTTTGTGGATTTGGGGAATTTGTGGATTAACTTTAGAAAAATCACTCTGATTGTAGTTTGAAGAATGGGTTGAAAGGGAGTAAGACAGAAGTCAAGGACACGATTTAGTCTGGAATATTTTTGCTGTAAAGAACAAGGGAGTAAATACTTTCTGTTTTGCAGGCCATATAGTTTCTGTCACCACTGTTTTGTCATTATAGCTTGAAAGCAGATCTAGATAATATGTAAATAGTGGGCATGCCTGTGTTCTGATAAAACTTTATTTACAAAAAAGGTGGATAAGCCAGATTTAGGTTGTAAGCCTTAGTTTTCCAACCCCTGATTTAAGCTATTGTAGTAATTCAGGAAAGAGATGATATTAGCATAAACTTGGGAAGTGCCAACCCTGGCTGTTAGAGCATTAGCCTGCAAACCAAAGGGTCTTGGGTTCGATTCCCGGTCATGGGCACCTGGGTTGCAGGTTCAATCCCAGGCCACAGTCGGAGTGAATGTAGGAGGCAACCAATCGATATGTCTCTCCCATATCAATGTTTTCTCTCTCTCTCTCTCTCTCTCTCTCTCTCTCTCTCTCGTCTCTTTCTCCCTCCCTCCCCCCCACTCTCTCTAAAAATCAATGAAAAAAAATCCTTGGGTGAAGATTAACAAAAAAATAAAATAAATAAAAATAAAAAAACTTGGGAAATGGCAGCAGCAAAAAAAAATAAAGATGAATTCAAGTGCAGTGTAGCTCAGTTGGCTGGGCATCGTCCCGTGCAATGAGAGGTTGCCAGTTTGATTCCTGGTTGGGGCACATGCCTGGGTTTCAGACTTAATCCTCCATAGGGGGTGTGCATCCATGTTTCACTCTCCCATTGATGTTTCTCTCTCTCCCTCTCCCTCTAAAAATCAATAAAAACATATTTAAAAAAAGATGAATTCAAGAAGAAGTTAGGAAATGGCATGGAGAGCGGATTTGGTGATTAACTGGAGAAGTGTGAAAGAGAGGAAAAAATCCAAGGTAGTGTCTAAGTTTCTGGTTTGGAGGACTGGCTGAACGATGGGATCGTAGGAAGACAGTGGGAGTAGAGTAGGACTGTTAGGTTTGGGGTGCAGATGAGGGGTGGAGATGGCATGTTTGATTTTGGCCTTGTTACATTTAAGGTGCTTCTGTGGGCTATCAAAGAGAAGATACTGAGTAGGCAGTTGAACATACATGTCTGGAACTCAGAAGGAGAGGCCTAGACTAGAGCTGTTGGTTTAGGAGTCATCCTCTGCAGATGGTAATTGAAACTGTGGGCATGGGTGAGATTGCCCGGAGAGTGTGGAGAGTGAGCAAGGCAGGGAGTGACCAAGCCACATTCCTGACGAACCAATCACATTTAAGGAACACACGCAGGAAAGGAATTCCTTATAGGAGTCCGAGAAGAAGGGGTCAGCGAGGAGAGAAGAAAAGAAAAGCGAGAGAGCGTGGTCTCAAGAAAAGTCACAGGAGGAAGGAGAGGACTGAAGAATGAGGAGGTGTTTCCTGGTGTTAGACGCTGCTGGGAGGTCATTGAGATCAGAACTGAGAACTGTCCATGGGGTGTAACAACAAGAGCTTGTTGATGAGCTTAATGAGAGGATTCATGCCGTGGGAAGGACAGAAGTGATTGGAATGGGTTGAATTGCCAGCAGGAGGTGGGGAGGTAGACAGAGAGTAGAGAGAACTCTTATGCCTGTGAGGAGCAGAAGAGAGGGTGATGGTTAATTGGAAGTGGGAGGTCTGCGGGACGTTCCTTTAAAAATAGAAGAATCTTGAGATGTGTAAACACTGATGGGAAAAGCAAGAGGGATAAAGAGGCTGAAGTAACAGTGAGAAATAAATGTACATGGAAGACCTTCATGACTTCCAGAGTGCTGTGCAAAATTAGTCATTTATTTTTCCTTCAGAGTTAAGAGGCTCTTTGGTCCAGTGCTGTGCTCAGAGGTACTGGGGAGCAGCTGGGGTGTGGACTATGAAGAGCAGAGGAGGCTAGAGAGCAGCTGCGGGTCGGTCTGGGCTGGCGAGGTGTGCAGCGGCCTCATAGACGTCTCCGTCCCTGGGCTGCTGGTAGTTTATTGCTCCTGCGTTGATGGATATATTAAGACTGGAATAGGTTAAATCCTGCTGTTAAAACAGTTCACCACGTGGAAAGTATTTTTAGGTCTCTAGAGTAGAAGTGCCTTATTGATACTGTTGGCAAAAATTTACCGAACAGAATCCTGAATTTGGAGAGCATATAAACATATAACCAATGACATCCTTCAGAACATGCAGAATTGGGGGTGTCTCTTCTGGTAGTTTGGGGTCTGTTTCTAGTGGGGACATCCAGCTCCCCCTTCAGGTTGGTATCCAACAAGGTTCCGTTCTCTGCCAAGCTCTTGCTATGGGGACATCAGTTATAAATAAACAAACACTCGCCTGGAACGTTACGGTCATCCTGCCCAGGCAGGCACCCAACTTCCTGATCACTGTCAGACACCAGCGTTGGCTTCACAGCGTCCTGCTGAGAGTGGCACTAAACACTAATTGTGTATTTAAGTCTTCTGTGTGCTTTGCACCTGTTTAATCCAAGAATATTCGTTAAAGATGTCTGAACAGAGAGCAGTCTGTTCACATGATGGGAAAATAAGACATGAAAGGCATCGCCATGCATGTAAAGTTCACCCTACTAAGGTCATCGAGGCTGACTTAGCTTTCTTCTTAAATCTTTGGAAAGTTCTATTTTTCTAGTGAAGAAAACCCACAAGGCAGGTAACTAATTATCTTGACAGTTTCTGTCATTGTATTTTGCTTTTTTATTTGGTGTATTGTGCCACTGATTTTGAGTATACAATTGTGACTGTTTTCTGTAGTATTACCCATTTTATCAGCATGCTATATTATTATTTTTTAGAATATCACAACTTAAAAGATTTTTTTGTGGGGTTTAATTTCACTCAGGACAAATTATTTCTTTTGAATTATATCTCTGACCTTATGGTAATAAGTAGGTTTTACTAATAGAAATTTGTTTTAAGGTAAATTTCCCCCCCAGAACGTTAGTTACATGACATCTTAGATATCATAATGAAAGACACATCAATTATGAAAGAGAATTCATCGGTCGAAAACAATAAAAACTTACGGAGAACCTACTGCCTGCTGGGCCCCAGGTTGGGTTCTAGAGAAACAATAATACCTTTTAAAATTCTGTTTAACTTTAAAAAGCCACATGTGGCTAATGGCATCGCTATTGTCCAGTGCAGCTTTAGAAGCTACTTTGGGAAATGCTGATCTAAGGGTGTGTTTTTACTTATTCATTCTATAAACATTGTCAACAAGTTCATGGGTCACCGAGTAAAAGCGTCCTTATCCTCACAGAGCTTCTAGTTCGGTGGGGGCAGCAGGCACCAGCTGTGCAGTGATGGGCACAAGGGGGTTACTTGGAGCACAGAGGATATTTCAGCTTTGGGTGGGAGGTTGGGGTCGATCAGAGAAGGTGCCCTGGTGGAGTCCTCGAGAATAACTCCTAGGAAAATGAGTAAGAGGTGAAGAGTGGAATTCACTACCGATGTCAAGGTGCAGTTACTACCTAGTCACTGCAAGAAATGTGTGCTTGTCTCCAGTTCTTTTTTATTTTATTGATTTCAGAGAGGAAGGGAGGGAGGAAGGGAGGGAGGGAGGGAGGGAGAGAGAGAGAGAGAGAGAGAGAGAGAGAGAGAGAGAGAGAGAGAAACATCAGTGATGAAAGAGATTCATTGATTGGCTGCCTCCTGCACGCCCCCCACTGGGAGTCAAGTTCACAACCCCAGCATGTGCACTGACCAGGAATCAAACCATGACCTCCTGGTTCATAGGTCAACGCTCAACCACTGAGCCATGACAGCCGGGCTGTTCTTGTCCAAACAAAATCACTCTTTTTTTTTTTTAATATATTTTATTGATTTTTTAACAGAGAGGAAGGGAAAGGGATAGAGAGTTAGAAACATCGATGAGAGAGAAACATCGATCAGCTGCTTCCTGCACACCCCCCACTGGGGATGTGCCCACAACCGAGGTACATGCCCTTGACCAGAATCGAACCTGGGACCCTTCAGTCCGCAGGCCAAAGCTCTATCCACTGAGCCATACTGGCTAGGGCAAAATCACTCTTGATAGAAGTTGTAGGAGTATAGGAACATAACCATTCTTCTGTCCGCCGGCAGTCAGTTAGACTCTATATAGTGGACAGTGAAACATGGCACCTTTGAATGCCCCAAATCATCTTCTGAATGGGTTCATGCTTAGGATGTCATTTGCGGTGAGTCTGATAGAGGGAGGAATGGAGACAATGCCTAGTGTTTTGTCTTGTTCAGTGGGCTGAGGAAGGCTTCTTGAAAGGGTTGAGGTTTTAGGAGAGCTGCCGCAACTTGAAGTGTCAGCGCTTGTTCCGTTCAACTGTGGAACACCGGTTGTCTGAACTTTATCTTTTTTCTTTCCCTCCAGATGGTGTCCTACTCCTCTGTCCTCACAGCTATCAGTAAGGTATGATCATAGCTACCCAGAGGCTGGGTGGGGGCCAGGGGAAAAGATACGATCATAACGGAGGGGGCCCCACCTCCTTGAATGCTCTGATCATGTGGCCACTGAGGCTGGACAGGCAGCCCACGCTGCCTCTGGCTGGCATAGCTGCCTTTCGCTGGAAGGGAGAGCATCCTGGGAAGCGGGGGCTGGCGATTAGCCAATCTCCAGTGTTGAAAGGGTGCCCATTCTGAAACCTGAGGTGGGAGGAAAGATGAGTGTCCCATCTGCCTCGTGTGAGACCAGCGGTTGACTGTAGCATCACCTCTGTTCTTTCCACAGTTTGATGACTTTTCCCGTGACCTGTGTGTCCAGGCGTTGCTAGATATCATGGACATGTTTTGTGACCGACTAAGGTAATAGCAGGGGTGAGGGGCTCACAACCTCCAGCATTAGCTCAGTGTAAAGGAGAAGCTCCAAGTAGAGAGACTCTGTGGCTCCCCACACTTCTCCCCCCTGCTCACCCACACCCACCCATCCCCATCCTTTTCCACTTAGTCCTTAGGACAGAAATGCCTCTTCTCGATTGGGAGTAGCTCGTTTGAAATCTTGTCTAGTGGAAATCAACAGGGCTGTCTTCCCTAGGACTTTGCTAGCTTCCCAACTCTCTTCCCTAGTAGGAAGTGCCAGGCCCTCTGGGAACATTGGTGTGGGTCAGATTTCAGCCTTTGGAGCGGAGACAGATTTTGCATCCTTTCCCGTAGCTGTCATGGCAAAGCAGAGGAGTGCATCGGGCTGTGCCGGGCCCTTCTCAGCGCCCTCCACTGGCTGCTGCGCTGCACTGCAGCCTCTGCCGAGCGGCTCCAGGAGGGGCTGGAGGCTGGCACTCCAGCTGCGGGGGAGAAGCAGCTTGCCATGTGCCTGCAGCGCCTGGAGAAGACCCTCGGCAGCACCAAGAACCGGGCCCTGCTCCACATCGCCAAACTCGAGGAGGCCTGTATGTCCCCTCGTCCCCCTGAGCCCCACCTGCCACTGCTCCCATATCCGGTTCTTTAATTGCGAGGGGAGAGGCAGGATGGCATCCCACTTTTTTCCAGGAGGATCTGAAATCATCCCACTTCCTTTTTTTTCTCCCCATAAGCATTGCATACATCCCAGGGACTTGGGCAGGGTGGCACCCGAGCCAATCAACCAACAGGTATTTACTGAGCCTTATTGTATGCCCAGCACTCTGCCAGGTGCTGGGGGCGGGGGGGTGGGGGGCTGCTGAAGGAGCATGTGGCAGGGTCCCTGCCTTCAACCAGTATACATGCCAGTGGGGAGCAAGACTAGTGTGCAATATACGTGGAAAAAATTAGAGGACAAGGCAAGCACGTGATCCACCCCTGTGTTTGTCTCCATGTTACTGATCATCTGAAAAACAGATGACTGTGTTTGAGCATTGCCTAACACGTCCTTTAGACATGATGCCTGTCTGCTGCCAGGCCTACTGGGCCGTACACCTCTCGACTCAAGTGCACACGTTAAACATTGGAACTCTCCAGAGCCTGCGATCAGACAGATCACCTGGTGGGAGGGAGGGTTCTGATATTCCGGACGTGGGGCCGAAGGCCGCAGTCTTGCTGTGCCTGGGACCACTGAGGATCTGTATTTCTCCAACAATGAAAATGCTAGAATGGGTTACCTCCAGGTCTTCAAGGCCTGGTTGAAGAACTTGTAGGATTAGTATATTTGTTACTTCCCAAAATATATTTTATTGTCTGTGTAAAGTACGGAAAGGTGACCACGATGTAAAAATTGGCTATGTTGACAGTTTCTTACCTATCTTGAGGACTTGAAAAATGTTTATTGGCTGCAAAATGAATGAATATTTAGCTTAATGGATCTCAGGTCCCACCTCCCCCATGCTACATATAGGTTAATGGGCTAGTTGGTGCCATTCTTCATCAATTGACCCTCTGGAATTGTAACTAGGATAAGTGACTTATAATTAAGTGCTAAATCATGCAGTATAGACCATGAATTCAGGCATTTAGGAGAGATCAGTGGGTTGGACCAGTTGGGTGAGTTGTTAAAGCCGCTGGGGCTTGAAGGGAGGCTTGAAGGATAGTGAGAGTTGGCGAGGTGATGCGTGGGAGGGGCATTTCCGAAGGGAGGACAGCTAGAGCCAAGGCCCAGACGGGGTGGAGGATACAGAAGGAGGTGTAGGAGTCCAGCTTGTCTGAGTTGGAGAGTGTTGGCTACTTGCAAGGCTGGCACACTCCTGAAGTGATCTGGGGCCACCTCCCTGTTCCAGCCTCTGGACTCCCCTCCCCGCCCCACCCCTGCCTCTGCCACTGCCTGTCTCTAAAGTCAGCTGCACGCATCCCTTCAGGCAGGCTTCTGGGATTGGTTTCTAGGGGCTTCCCTGTTGGTGTGCAGCCTCCTTCTAGGAACAGCACATGCTGCCCCCAGGCCCCCAGCCCCCATGTCACCCTCAGGGGAAGCCTCCTTGCGTGGTTTTGTGGGCCCAGGGGGTGCCAAAGTTGAGGAGTTTGGGGCTACTCTCTCCCTCTCCTCTGTTTCCCATCATGTTCCTGCATTTCCTTTTCTCCACCAGCCTCCTGGACAGCTATTGAACATTCTCTCTTGAAGCTTGGGGAGATCTTGGCCAATCTCAGCAACCCCCAGCTCCGGAGCCAGGCTGAGCAGTGCGGCACACTCATTAGGAGGTACCCAGCTCCCAGGCCGATGGTGGGGAAGAGAGAGGGGAAAGGCCCTGGGTGGGGGTGGGTCGTGTGGCACCTGGCCCCGACCCTTCTGCTCCCCCCTGCTCGCCAACGCTTCCCAGCTCACCAAACGCCACCCCTGTGGATCTGTCCCCTCAGCATCCCCACGATGCTGTCCGTGCACTCCGAGCAGCCGAACAAAACTGGCTTCCCCACAGTCCACGCGCTGGTCCTGCTCGAGGGCACCATGAACCTGACAGGCGAGACCCAGCCCCTGGTGGAGCAGCTGATGATGGTGAAGCGCATGCAGGTGGGTGGGCCAGAATTGCCTCTCTGTCCCCAAGGCGGCGACCGTTTGTGTGCAAGAGGGAGGATTCTCTGGTCCTTCTGGGAGACATGGGGTTTCTCCTATTCATGGGAAAGTGACTCCCAGTCTTGTACGGTTCTGCCAACTTACCAACGTCCCTGGCTCTCGTGTTCCTGTTTCCCAGTTGTAACCCAGCCTGATGCCCGGGGGCCTGCAGAGGTGAAGGGGGGAATGGGGCCCCTCTCAGGCCTTGCCTTGGGTCTTCCTGCAGCATATCCCCACTCCACTTTTTGTCCTGGAGATCTGGAAAGCTTGCCTCGTGGGCCTCATCGAGTCTCCCGAGGGTACGGAGGAGCTCAAGTGGACGGCCTTCACCTTCCTCAAGGTACCTGGGACCTGGAGCAGCGGGAGAGCCCGTCTGGGGATGGTCCTCGGCAAAAGCAGCGACTCCCTGGGCCTTTGCCCGTGTTTCTCCCGCTGGCGTCACGCCCAGCCTGCCGGGTCCCCCAGCACTAGTTCCCATCGATTCTTTTCTCTGAGTCCCAGGGCCATATTTAGCGCGCTGGCAGCTCCTGCTGTGTCTTAGCACACAGGTGCTCCTTAGCTCTGTCTTCAGCCAGATTCCTACAGGGCAGTCATGGGAGCCAGGGAAGCAGGCTGCAGTCCTTGAAGCAAGGACTCCACTTCTGCTTATGGCATTTCCTCGTTGAGCCAGCAGACGGGGGGGTCCCTGTGTCCTGTAGGCTGAGGGCACCGGGCACTTAGGTACCGTCGCTTTCTGATTTGGCTTCTAGAATGCTTTCACTTTCAGGGCAGGGGTGTTCTTGTCTCTCTGCCCAGAGCAGGGGCCGGAGGGGCTGCCTTCAATTCTGGGTGAAAGAGAAAAACTTGTGCTCATCCTCTAGATTCCACAGGTTTTGGTGAAGTTGAAGAAATACTCTCATGGGGACAAGGTGAGTAGAAGAAATGAGACGGAGGGGTCATAGGAGCAGGTAGATCCTTGTCTCTGCCCTGGAGAAGCAAGAGCAAGGAGAGGGTCGCTGAACTGGGCAGGAGTGTGTCCTTGTTCCTGTGGGAAGGGGAGTGTGTATGCACCTGAGCATCTGTGTGCACCACACACAGGCACCCAGTCTCCAGAGAGAAGGCAGCCGGGCTGCTCAGGAGGCAGGGTTGCCTGAGATGATCAGGACCCGGGTGGCCATGGAGGGCGATGCCCCAAACTTCCCCCCATTGTAGTCACTGGCAGCCAGTGGGTAGGCACGGCCGACTCGTAGGCTTTTATATCCAGCGGTGTCCTTGTGAGCCTGCCGCAGGCTGTGGGTGGGGAAGAAGACGGAGAAGCCAGAGGGCATTTCTGGCTCTCTGTAGGACTTTACCGAAGATGTCAATTGTGCCTTTGAGTTCCTGCTGAAGCTCACACCCTTGCTGGACAAAGCTGACCAGCGCTGCAAGTACGAACTCCCCTGCACTCGACGGGGAAGTGTCCTGGGCTCTCCCACTGCTCTTCCTGCCAGATACGCCTCAAAGGACCGTCTTACTGTTCGCCCCCCTTGGCAGGAGCAGGAGGCAACAGCCTCCTAGTTGCCAAATGCCCGAGCCCCACTCCCCTCCCCCTTCCCTCTGGCGCTCCGAACGTTCTTTATCCTGGGGGAGGGAGGATCCCGGGCTGGGACCCTTGCTGCTGCCCCTCAGGAATCCCTGCTCTGGGCCCAGTCCCCTCATCATCTTTCTCCCTCACAGCTGTGACTTTACAGACTTCCTCCTTCAGGAATGTAGGAAGCAGGGGCTTCTGTCTGAGGCCAGTGTGAACAACCTGATGACCAAGCGGTGAGTGTGAGCTCCCTGGGGCCGGTCCACGCACCCTTGGCCCTCCCTCCCTCCTGTCCAGACTGGGCTACTGGGTGCCTTTCCGCTCCTGTCTAGAGTTTGGGTTGCGGGTGCCTGGGGCCAGGAGACACTGGTTTCTGCAGACTAGGGCTTTGCCCCATTAGGTACTGTGCTTTGACTCTCGGCCTCCTTCGTGATCAAAGTCAAAATCCTAAATCTTCCTCCAATCTTAAATGAACTTTCAGAACAGGTGTAATGACCAATGACCAAAGGAAGCGATTGGATATTGGAGACGCTTTCATAGGTGTCACCATGGCACCAGAGGTTCTCCTGTGCTTCCCCCCTTCTCTGTGCCTCTGCTCCTGGGGCTGGATAGGGAGCATGTCAGGGACTTATCTCTGTTCCTCTTCTCTTCTCTGGGCCGAATGGTAATGGCCGCAGTGCAGCAGACCGGGAGCACGCACCCCAGCAGAAATCAGGAGAGAACGCCAACATCCAGCCCAATCCTGGGCTGATCCTCCGAGCGGAGCCCACTGTTACCAACATCCTCAAGGTGAGTGCGCCCGTCCCTTGTCACCAGGGTCGTCTCTTCCCTCTTTCCAGTTTTCCCTCTACTTCCAGATGAATACACAGAGGCCATAGACCTCCCTCTTCTGGCTTCTGTACATAGTTACTTGGGAAGTAGAGAAAGGGGGACCTTCCGCAAGGGAAGCTGCCATTGAAAACTAACATGTATTGAGCATCACTTGTAAGCCAGGCACTGTGGTAGGTGCTTTCACGTAGCTCGTCTTGTGCAGAAACAATGGAGAATTTCACAGCAGGGACCTCACCTGCCCGGTCCTGCCACCCTTGTCTCAGTTGAGTTTCGAGGGATGGTTTTGGCGAGCAAAGATAAGATTTTAGAGACTGTTTTCCAGATTGGAATCAGAAAGACGTAGGTTAAGTTGCAGGTCCTGGTGTACCATTGAATGGAGACGTGCAGAGAGAGAGACTGTGGCTAGGCTGTATCTGGGGGGGTCTTCAGTGTTCTTCAGGACTTGATTTCCTGTCGTGTCCCCAGACGATGGATGCAGACCACTCCAAGTCCCCGGAGGGGCTGCTGGGGGTCCTGGGCCACATGCTGTCTGGGAAGAGTCTGGACTTGTTGCTGGCTGCAGCCGCTGCCACTGGGAAGCTTAAGTCCTTCGCCCGGAAATTCATCAAGTAAGGAAGGCCGAGCTCTGGCCAGGGCCGGGGAGGCATGTCTGAAGTAAGAAGTAGCGGGATGGGGCGGGGCCCTGGGGTCTGGGTCTCCCAGGATGCTCAGTCCAAGGCAGAGCATCCCAGCTGGAGGCCCTGGGGGAGGACCGTTTCTTTGGACATGGAGCCTCGTTGCTCTTCCGCTGAGGATGACGTGGAGGAGTTCCAGGAGGTGACAAGGCGGTGAACGGTGGTGTGGAGGGGTTCTGTGTGCCCAGGTGTTAACCGGGGGCTCTCCAGTTCTGTGGACTGATTTTTGTTAACCTGCAATTTGATCTGTAGAAATTGTTCTATTCAGTGAGCCATTCTCTAGGTTTTGGGAATCTTTAAAAATGAAGTTCTCTCTTCTGTAGCAGTGGTGTTCATTTTAAGTTTGACCTGTAATTGGGACTAGTGAGTGCTCTGGGGTGGGTGTGGTTCCCCACCCCCAGCTGTCACTCCGCCCTTGCTCTGGTTGATGCGGCCTCTCTCCATTCCCTCCACAGTTTGAACGAGTTCACGACACACGGCAGCGAAGAAAGCAGTAAGTCAGCTCTGCACACCCCAGGCCCGGTGGGCACTGAGAGACGGGTGTGGGGGGAGAGCTTACGGGGGAAGAGGATGCCTTATGTGGGTCCTGGGAGGCTCTTCTCCCGAGTGATGACGCATGAAGCCTGTGGGAGGCTTGAGAGGGTGATGCTGGGAAAGGGTTCTACAGCCACCCCTTTGTCCCCCCTTAGGATTGGGTTGGGTGTTGGGGGGAAAGAGGGTATCGGGAGTCTGAATCCAAGGAAGGAATGATGTTCCAATTGAGACTCAAGAAAAGGATTCTGAGCCTCAGAGCTTTGAAGGAGACACTGGCTCTGACCTTCCCTGAGATGATCCTGACCCAGACAAGGGCGTGGGGCCCTGCCCTGGGCTGCGGGTCAGCCTTCTCATCCTTCACAGCCAAATCGGCCTCCGTCCGAGCCTTGCTCTTCGACATCTCCTTCCTCATGCTGTGCCACGTGGCCCAGACCTATGGCTCCGAGGTGAGTGAGGAGAGCAGGCAGGTGAGGGGCAAGAGGGAAGGAAACAGCCCATATCTCTCCCCCTGTCACCCCTCCCCTCCCACCCCACCCCTGTCAGGTTCTTGGTGCCGAAATCAGGCATCCACCCAGAGAATGTAATGGAAGTGAGCAGAGGCCCGCCTGGTCGCATCCCAAATCCTTCAGTGCCGGATCCCCGACCACTAGGTGGCAGCACCGCCCTCCTCTTTCCCTGTAGCTGGTTTGCCCCCAGTTCTCCAGGCGACAAATGGGAGCAGGAAGCACCAGGGCAGGTTCCCCCACTCGGCTGGTGACTCGCCTCCTCTCCCAGGTGATCCTGTCTGAGTCGAGCGCAGGGGCAGAGGTGCCCTTCTTTGAGACCTGGATCCAGACCTGCATGCCCGAGGAGGGCAAAATCTTGAATCCTGACCACCCCTGCTTCCGGCCGGACTCCACCAAAGTGGAGTCCCTAGTGGCCCTGCTCAACAACTCCTCCGAGATGAAGCTGGTGTCAGTGCCTGGGCGCCCACTCCCAGGGGCGGTGGGGGTGCCGGTCCCTCTCCCTCAGCCCACCCCTCGTTCCCCTGGTGATTCTTCTCCCCCCGCCCCGCCCCCCCTCGCAGGCAGATGAATTGGCACGAGGCCTGTCTCAGCATTTCAGCCGCCATCTTGGAAATCCTCAACGCCTGGGAGAACGGGGTGCTGGCCTTCGAGTCCATCCAGGTAGCCCTCCCCCCCCCCCCCCCCCTTTCAGGAGGC